AAGTGCTTGGAAACTACATGTGACTACCTGAGCAACCTGAGATCTGTGTGACCCATGCAGCCCAGACGTGAAACCTGTGAGATCACCCCAACCTATGTGTGCAATCCGCATGACCCAACCAAACCGCACATGGAATCCAAGTGACTGGCACAAGGACACATAATAGGCTCTCTGGGCCACACTGCACTTTCAGAGGGCCACGTGTGGCTCCCACTGATTTCAATGGGAGCTGCTCCCATGCATCTGAGAGATTCTAGGCACTAGTGTGACACACATGAGGCGCATGTATCAGATCCACGTGTGGGTTATTGTGAGAGGAGATTGGCCACAGGACAGGGATGTGCCAGTGGGATGGGACACCCCCCCATCCTGCTGACAGCAAGCTAACAACAGTCTCTGCACTCAGGCAGTGCCGAGTAGGCGCACCTGCAGAGCATGCCCTACCTGGAGAAAGGCAGCTTAACAAGTGAAGCTGGCCATAGAGCAGCAGGTGAGTTTCCCAAGAGGAGAGGCTGATAGAGACAGCTAGGCAGCCCAGTAGCCACGGGAGCCGCACCTGGCTAGTGACTTGTGCTCGCTTTCCCCCCTGCCTTGTTTAGGGCAGACAGACATTGCAGCCCTGAGTGGTGCTCTGGACGTCTGTTCTTCTCTGGTCCAGCTACAGGACACTGACGGAGCCGCACCAGGGACTGGAGGTAACTGGACTCAGAAAGGACCCTGGGAGTGAGCTCACCACCCCTGGGGAACCACGAGCTTAACCAGGAGGGGAGGTTCCAGAGGGGACTCAGGGGCAAGAAACACAAAGAGACAATGGCCAAACCCAGGCTGAGAGCTTCTTGGAGTAGCACTAGAGGGAGAAATGGACTGGATGGGAAGTGAGATTGTCTTGCTTCCTCCAATCTGTAGGTAGAGCTAGAATGCTGGGGTCTCCTCTGGTCAGCAGCAGAATGCCCCTGGGTATCTCTGCGTGCCCAATGGCTCTGCCTAATAAACTCCGAGCTGAACTACTGACTCTGAATGAGCGATTTCATTCTGAAGGGGGGCGGGACGGAGCGGAGTGAGTGGAATCTGCGCTCCTGCTCTAATTTATCATATAAAAATGTCACTAGGACTCAAATTGCCTGCCTGACTGGCGTGACAGAAATGGCAATGCTTGCATTTTAATTGTCCACCACACAGCATGGAATCGGGAGGCAGATTTATGCTCTATTAAAAACTTCACAGCCTGTGTGTTCAAAATGGAGTGTTATAGAGAAAGGTATAAAAGTGGGGGGGAGGAGAGGGAAAGGTGTCTGAAAACTCCAACATTCGTTTTGAAGCAGAAGCCCATTCGGCACAATTCATGCAAGTGACACAAATAGAGCAGTCTGTGCATGTCGGGTTGTGTGCAAAGGGCACTGCATTAGACCACAGGGAGGTACAGCCAGGGGAGCTGAGTTTGCAAGACTGCAGAAAGTAGCACTGGGAGAACAGAACAACCTCGCCTTTCAGAAGGTCAATGAGGGAGTGTTGCCTAGCAGTTAGAATAAAGGCTTGCGAGACAGGATACCTGGGTTCTGTTTTTGGCTCTGCTACTGGCTCGGTGTGCAGCCTGGGGTGAGCTATGTGGGGTCAGATTCTCCAAGGAGCTCAGCGCCTGGCTGCTTCCATTGTGACATCTAGGGCAAGAATCTCCAAGGAGCTCAGCACCCACCACACCCACCACATGCTGAGCACTCTCAGAACTCAGGTGAGCCATGTCTGCCCAGTGTGGCACTCTGTCCCCTTCTAGTGCTGACCAGGCCAACTAGCACTTGATGAGCCTGCTATGGTCTCGGCTAAGAAAGGGGCAGCTTTTAGCTCAGACAGTACAGGCTCATGTATAAAGATCCCGAGGTCCCAGGTTTGATCCGTGCTGCCGACAACCCATCCAAGGGGTCAGCATTATGCTTAAATTGGAGATGAGCCTGAGTGAGGAAGCTGATCTTTTCTGACTGTTCTGGCCTTAAGTCCTAATTTTCAGAGATGCTTAGCACCCACGGCTGTCACTGATGTTAGCTGGCCCTGGCCTGTGCAGCTCTGCCAATCAGACCCTTAACCTCTCTGTGCCTCAGTTTACCCATCTGTAATACAGGGATAATAATGTTGCCTTACGATAGAGGAGTGCTTTGAGGCATAAGGAAAGCATTGTAGGAGCCCTTACATAGGGGTGCTATAGCAGGGCAATGGATTATTATCACCCCATCATGCAGGGGGGCAAGGTAAAGGTGCGAGAGCCATACTCACTGGAGAAACACGTCCTTCTTGTTGAGAAACTCGAAGAATGTCGGCTCGCAGACCAGCCTGTGCTCCTGACAGGTCTCAGTGCAGGCTTGCCCGGCCTCAGACACCCACACCTGCATGGAGCTCACGGGAGGCCAGACATGGGGGGCGCTGCTGGCGTTGTACGACCACACAAGGTGAGTGGCGTTGGGCGACAGGGTGAATAGGCTTGGAGAGCTTGGCATAGCATGGCCGTTGGGCTTCACTGGCAGAGGAGGAGAAGCTCCAGCACAGAAATCCTAGCAGGGCAGAAAAGGACAGGTCAGAAAGTGCCCCGCGGGATGGAAACGGTTAAACATCAGGCCGGTCTGAAGGGAAACACTTTCTAGGTTGCAGCCGGGGCTAGCTCTGCTGCCTTGAGCTCGGGTCCCTTCCACCAGCTAGAAGGGAACACCCGAGGGCCTCCCCAGGCAGTAGCTAGGGCTGCTGAATATATATGATTCAGACTCCATTACTGACTCCTGCCCTGACCTGGTGGACCTTCCCCGCAGCAGAGAGATCAAAGGGCTCTTCCCGCACTGCCGAGCTTTGCCAGCGAAGGATCTCGGATCAGAGGCTGGTTCTGCTCTGGCTCTCCCAGGTTCCAGTGCAGCCTCTCGCTAGGAGCCAGCTTACAGGGGGCCCAAGGAGCCCATGCAGCAAGGAAGAATGTTCCCTGGGGAGCCCAGCCCAGCCCCTAGGGATTTGCTCTGATAGACACCCACAGCCCTGCTTAGGATCTGGAGCTAAACTAGGGTCCCAGAGATGAGCAGCCCCCTATTTCCCCTGGTTTTTGGGTGGCAGGGCTCCATACAGAGCATCTCTCTCCTTGTCACCAGGATGTACTGATAACTGCAAAGGAACATATCCCTGCAGATACGGAGCGACTCCTCACTCATCTCAGCCCAGACAGGCGGTGTGCAGGGCTGCTAAGGTACCACAACTACAAGCACCACCTCGCTTCCCAGCGTCTGTTCAGGAAAGTCCCAAAGCTGCAGTTGGTGGGTTCCACCAGAGGATTAGGTAGAAGCATCCATGGCTCCTGCCAGTACCGTGCCGGGCTCCAGCCAGAGCCACTGGTCCTTGACTTTCATGAGTCCTAAATCCCCTCTCAGATTCAGACAGACACCAGTAGTCCCCAGGGCTGTGGGCCCTGTCACTGGCTAGCTGGCTGTGTCCTGAGCCACCAGCGAATACGTATGCCTGACAGCTACGGTTGCCAGGTGTCTGGTTTTCGACTGGAATGCCCAGTCGAAAAGGGACCCTGGCGGCTCCAGTCAGCACCGCTGACCGGGCTGCTAAAAGTCCAGTTCGTGGCATAGCAGGGCTAAGGCAGGCTCCCTGTCTGCCCTGGCTCTGTGTGGCTCTTGGAAGCAGCGACCTGTCCCTCCAACTCCGGGGCAGCCAGGGGGCTCCGCGTGCTTCCCCCGCCCCAAGTGCCGGCTCCACAGTTCCCATTGGTTGGGAACCATGGCCAATGGGAGCTGCAGGGGCAGCGCCTGTGGGCAGAGGCAGTGTGCAGAGACACCTGGCCACACCTCCACCTAGGAGCCAGAGGGACATGTCACTGCTTCCAGGAGCCGCCTGAGGTGAGTGTCGCCCGGAGCCCGTATCCTGAACCCCCTCTCTCTCCCCCAGCCCTGAGCCCCCTCCTGCACCCAAACTCCCGCCTGGAGCCCACACCCTGAACTGCCTCCTGCACCCCCACTCCCTGCCCCAGCCTGGAGCCCCCTCCCACACAAACCCCTCATTTTTGGCCCACCCCAAGCCCGCACCCTCAGCCAGAACCCTCATCCATTCCCACACCCCAACCCTCTGCCCCAGCCCGGTGAAAATGAGCAAGGGTGAGGGACAGCGAGCGAAGGAGGGAGGGGGGATGGAGTGAGCAGGGGCGGGGCCTCAGATAAGGGGTGGGGAAGGGGCGGGGTCTCATGGAAGGGGTGGGGCAGGGCGTGGGGCAGAAGTGTTCGGTTTTCAGCAATCAGAAAGTTGGCAACCCTACTGACAGCACACACAATAATCACTGGCTGCAGAGCCATCCAGGGGAGGTCGCTGGTGCTTTCAGACCTTGGGATTAAGACGGGATAGCGATCCTGGAATGCTTTGAATGAAATGGTTTAGCAGCAACTGCTCCTCTCAGACAGGTCTTGGGCCTTGACCTACACGGTGACAATGCAACTCCCCACGCAGCCCTGCCAAGAGGTCACAGGCTGTGAACCTTGGCAGTGAGGGGATCTCGGAAGGTTCCCCGGGTCTGCAGGAAAGGGGAGGGGTTCACAGGAGTTTCCTCTCTCCCCCTGTGTCTTGTTCTGGGATTCAGGTTTCACTGAGCTCTATTAGTCTGGCTTAGAATGAAACTACTAACCCTTCCCTGGAATCAGGGGCTGAGGAGACTCACTGCAACCCACCACAACTGCCCCCTGGGTCAATCCAGTCCCCCACAACTCCCTCCCTCCCCAGCCAGGTCACTCCAAACCTCGGGCCCCTGGCTGGCTGAAAGGTGTTGTGACCCTCTGTGTCCCCTTTGAGGAACCTGCAGTTTGTTGCACATCTTTAAATACAGCCTGCTGGCCAGGATGCCTGGCTGGCTGCTTCCCCCAAGAGATGAAGTGGGAAGCCCTGTGGGGTGGGAGAGCGGTCACGAACCTGGTGCTGAATGTAAGCGTGAATCCGCTCCAGCATCCCCTCGCAGGTGTATTCATAGGGTACGTAAGGGTCCACCTGTGGAAAGGAAACAATAGGACATAGTCACAAGCAGGGAAAGACCCCTCCCTTCCCCTTGGCTTAGGGCGCTCAGCTGCCCACCACTTACAAAGCCAGCTCACGATGCCTGTGGGAGGAGGAAAGTTACTGGGAGCTTGTACTCACAGACCAGTTTTCCTAATGGCTTTTCATGTTTCCTTTCACAGCAAGACCTCCTGAAACCCATTTCCAGGCCCATCTTCACTGGTGGGAGCAGCTAATGTCGGGTGTAAGGTGGGCACACAAGCACCAACCAGTGCTCCAAAGAGACGGCTTGCTGCATTGCTGCCTGCTCTGAAGTCTCCACCGGGCTGACTCCAGAAGCAGAGCGGCTGGCTCCCAGCAGGGGACAGCAGCAGTGTGGATAGGGTTATGCTCCAGTACTAATGAATCCATTCTTAATAATCGTTCACACTTTGCGCTAGAGCCCTGTGGGACCCAGAACTTCTGTTTCCTGGGACGTTCCACAATTTCAATATTTGTTTTAGTTCTGAATCAGAATGAAAAAAAGAATTTCCTGAGAAACAACATTTTCAACATTTTTCTTGTTTTAGGTCAATCAAAACAAAATGTTTCAATGTTGACTGTTTTATATTATTATTATCTAATATAAAATAAAATCAAATTTTGGAAAGTCCTTAAAAAACCCAGAATGTTCCGTTCCAATAAGGAGCAGTGCGACCGTATTGAAATTTAGTTGAAATCAACATGCTTCCGCAGGAAGTTTAGATGGAGACGAATCAGCAGTTTCTAGCAGGAAAACATCCCACTGGAAAATTTCTGACCGGCTTTATTTTGCACGTCTCTAGCCCCTTCCACCCAAGCATCTTTTTCTGGGAGCGGGGTGCACCATTGGAGCAATCTGCTATCTGAATAGGCCTTGTCTCCAAGTCTGCTACCCCGCCAAAGTTTTCTTGGGCACTTTCAGGGATGCTGGTGATCATCATGTTGGACCTGTCAGGAACGCCAACAGACACATGCAGCCATCTGCTACCAGGAGGCATGTGGATGCAGTAGGAATGTGAAAGATGGGAGCCCCAACAACAGACGGGCTCAGCAAAACAAATGGCTCTTCGTGAGACTCCCCCATTCCTTTCTTTCCCCTCATTCTAGGAGATCAGAGCTCAGAATGTGGCAATTAAGAATCAAAGCAAAGCCTGGAGATTACACATATGTGGAGTCCTCCCCACGCTCAGCAAAAGCCCCTAACCTTGGACAAAGCCTATGCTCTTTCAGAAGAGTGTGTACGGCTCCAAGCATAGTCTTGAACAAAAGATGTTGCGGATAGGAGCTTCTGAAGAGCTGATTAGTAATCAATAGCAGCATAATGGATTCCTAAGTTTTGTGACACTGTAACGGTGACTGCTGCCTATCAGACTGATCTAAATAATCTCATGCTACCTTGTGCTCCCCTACTGTCTGTCTGGTGTACCCGCCTGTTGTCTCTTAGCATATACTTAGGCAGTAAGCATTTTTGGGTCAGGCTGACTTTTTGTCATATGTATGTACAGCACTTAGGATGATGGAGCCCTGCTCCCTGGAGGGGGCTCCAGGTGCTACCACAACAACCATTACAATATTTGGAGCTGCTCAAAGTTTGTGTCACAAAAATGGCCTTGATAAAGAAACAAAGACTGTCGACATTATCAAGATGTGCCATTTCTTGCAAAAAAAAAAAATTTTTTGTGTGTGTGTGTTTACCAAAACTTGCATTTTCTTACTGAAAACCGGGTTTTCAATAGTTTGGGTTAAACACAGGATGGAAAACGTCCTGGGACGTGGGCTCATCTCAAACACTGCTCGGGTGCAAAAGTACCAGCAGGCTTCTCAAATGACCTGAAGGGCACACAAAAGTCTGGCTAGAAGACGAAACCTTTAAAGAGCCACCAAGAGCTGGATAGTCGCCAGGAGAGAGACCAGGGTGCCAGCATTACAGAGCATAGGGCCTGGCCTATATGGGAGAGTGCTAACCTTGTAAGAAGGGGGACTGGGGAGACTGGGATATTCCCAGGATTGTAAGAGCAGAGTGACTGGAAAGACCGAGATCTTTAGAGCATTACATAGCACAGCAATGCTGCTATATAGTAAAATACAGGAAACTTGGGGCAGTGGGGTGACACGTGAGCTTAGAAAGGAAAGTGCATTCCCTGGGTCGGTACCTCCACATTAATCCAGACCTGCAATAACTGACATATTCTGTTATATTAGCACCACCCCCATCCAAACACCGTTGGCCACTTTTTTTTAAAGTGGGTGACAGGTGCTCAAGAACTTGGGCCTGTTTGGGTCCAATGGGTGTGCATAGAAATATTGCCAGTTATCTGTGTTGTACATGGAATGAGTCTGGCAGGTCTCAGCCCAGTTCCTAGTGCACTGTGTCTATGTGACAAAAACCACCACAGCTGTCAGCACTAATCCAACACCTTTGCGGGCAGTCTGAGCAGGGCGGCTAAGGATTCCCTGGGCCTGGAGTCTAAAGCCATCCAGCAGTA